ATATCAAAAGAGAGAAATGTTAGTATAATTTGGTTTGATATACAAACAGAGAGAAATGTTTGTATCAAAAGAGAGAAATTTTTGATATCAAAAGAGAGAAATGTTTGTATAATTTGGTTTGATATACAAACAGAGAGAGAGGTGAAGAAGAATAATATCAAAAGAGAGAAATGTTTGTATCAAAAGAGAGAAATGTTTGATATCAAATTTTGTTGAATGATTCGGTGGTTTGAAACAATACAAAATAAATAAGCCAAGACTTGTGTATAAAGCAGACATGAACAATACCTTTTTCAAGTGGTTTGAAACAATACAAAATAAATCACTTCTTAAATTTTTTGGTTGTGCCGACTTGTGCAGATGAAGCCAAGACTTGTGAAACAATTTGTTTGGTTGTGCCGACTATTCTCTTCTCTGTTCACAACTCAAGTTGCTTGCAAGCTGCCAGTTGGTTGCAAGCTCCTCATATTTAGCCTTGGCCTCTTTAATATCGGGTAAGACCTTGTCCTTCATTACATTCTCATAATGGTTCTTTTCCTGAAACAGAATCAAAACTTCAGTTCTAAGTGCAAACCAAGTAAAGAACCAAACAGAATCAAAACTTCACTTCTTAAATTGTTTGGTTGTGCCAACATAGAACGTAATGCTTGAGGAATGATGATATGGGAAAATATTGACAATCAAGCGGTTTCAACCCAAAAAAAAAACTAACCATGATTTCTAGATGAAGCTCATTAACACTTGATGTAGGTGATGCTTTGGTTTCAGCAGCGACTGAATTTTTCAGATCCTGCATATCAAGTTCCTTCCTTGTCAAATCTTTCTCTAGTTGGGTATGCTGCTTCTGTAACATAGACAACAAAACATATACAAAAAGCTTAAGATACAAACTTAAGATTTCTGTAAAAAGCAAACAGAAATAACACAGAAACTTAAAATTCATATTTATAACGAATTCACCAAGTGAATATGATACAAACATTGAAATATGATACAAACACACAACATAGAACAAAGCAAGCTGAAATTGAAATATGATACAAACACAGAATATGGAACATATGCAAGGAAAGCACACAGAAATCATTTCTTAAAATACACAACATAGAACATTCCGAATTGAAATATGATACAAACACAGAATATGGAACATATGCAAGGAAAGCACACATGAAATCACTTCCTCTTAGACAACATTTCTGTAAGAAGCATGTCCTTCACAGCTTCTTCTTTCTCTGAAAGTTCTTTCTTTGCAAGGAGATTGTCTAGTAAAGACATCATGGACAGCTCTTTTTGAGAATTCATGTCCTTCTCTTTTAAAGAGAACATACTCTGAAATCGCTCCATCCTCTTGCTGTCATCCATTACCATCTTACCTTTCC